ATTTGATACATGGCCTAGTTAGTTCACGGATCAACTTTGTTGTGAATGCTCTCCGAGAGACTCGACCTCATAAATCTATCGTCAAACCTCTCTTATTTCCAGTTTGTGACCTTCAGAAATCAGGGCGAAAAATGGTCAACAGGCAATGAATTTTTAGATAAGTAATACCATTCAATTCGATTAAATTGCTGGACTGGACTATACTGCATGAAGTTTTGAAACAAAGAGGCATCACCTTCATCAGACTATTTATTGTTTTTTCGACTAACAAAGCATTGTGTTTATGTGATACAGCCCAATCACAGGACTTCGCGTACTTAATTGTTGTATTCACAGTCTATATGGAAAACCAAGGGTACAGATCGAGTGCACAATTTTGAGTTGAGAATTAAGTTATCTCTGCTGTGAATGTGACCATAGTTCATTCAGTGATAGTTAATCGGATCCTCTCTAATCCAGACACAAGCATTGATAATTAATCTATTCAGCAAGTGCTTTTTTTCTTAGAGCTATTACTTAGAGTCAGGGAATATGATATATATTGGGGAAGATTAAATATGAGATTGAAATACAGTCAATGCAAAGAGTTAGCACATCATTTACAATTTGCAGGCACACATGAATATTCTTCATCAGTGCTGTCTGTTTTATGAGAGCATTATCCTTTCATAGTGTGTGGAGTCTTTTCCTAGGGACTTCTGTATCTGCACATGATATAGCGAAGAAAAACAGGCAGTTTGTTCATGCTGCTAACAGCTCAATGCATAGGAGGGGTTTTTGTGAAATGCAGAGGTACAGTTTTTACAAATATTGATTACATAAGTATATCAATTGACTACTGTGAAGCAGTATTTCTGTATCTGGCAGTATCATCTGAAGTATTTTCACTCAATATTATTCTTGAAAACATCCATAGTTATCTAACTCCAAGCTCCTTGTGGAAGTGTGATCTCCATTCTACTTAGGTGGGGTGATTGGAACTTAATTATTCCATCCTGCAGAGCTCACCGCTTCCCATCTTCATCAAATTCAAATCACATTACAAGCTAGAAATCGGGCAGGAAAAAACTAGACTTCAGTAGGCGTCGTTAAGAATTGCCTTGAATATCGTTAGTTGATGCTTCCAATTAAGTCGTAATTATGCGGAGGAGAGATCAGGTGACTGTGGTTAATTGAAAGAATCGTACTGTTTCCTGTGTAGGCAAGGGCTTACTAGGTACGTGGGTTAAGTTACAATGGCTTTATCTATAGTGGGTTGAATGGGAAGACATTGGGGGAGGGAGGATTGTATCGGGTACATATGTCTTAAATGGTAACAGGATTAAGTTGGTTAAGTTTAAGTAGGAGTTGATGGGATAACACTGAGAATCATGTAGGCAGCACTTAAGATGTTATTTTTTAAACAATCGTTCATTTATGGCCCACTTTAATTGTCAGTATGTATTGGATTTGTGGGATAGCACCAATAAGATGATATCAAGATGTTTTATTTATTTATTTATTTATTTATTTATTTATTTATTTATTTATTTATTTATTTATTTATTTATCATTACTTTTTTGTTAATTCAAATTTATATCATCGCATCAAGTTGTCTGATTTTGATTTTTTCACCATTCAGTTTAGGACATTTCCTCTTATTATAAGTCTGTAGCAGTTAGCTGTGGGTGACACAACCGAGGGATTAGATTATAGCTAGACCACCTGCCATATGATGGGTGGGACTAAATTAACCGTATCCTATATAGGTTTTTCCGATCTAATTGGATTTTCCTTGTAAAAAAGGACTAATTTTCTCCTCCTCACAAATCATAGCTTGACCAGTCCCTCTTCTTGGATTCAATGATTTACACCATGTTTTTTAAGTCAAATTGAAATATATGTAGTTCTAATTGGTTCCTATGATTTTCTGACCACCAAGGTCTTCCATTGTACATTGCAGAAAGATAATTTGTTTTTACTTTTAAGGGTTGAATATGGGGAAAGATGACATTAAGTAGCTTTGCAGCATAATTGTGGCTGAAAAAAAAAAAAGAGTTAAGGATAGCTTCCAAACAGGGATAGCTAGTGTATCTCTCAGTTGCCCCCCACTTGACTGCAGACCACGCGCCTTCAGAAGAGCCCTAATTAGAACTTACGCATCCATCGTTTGGAGTTAAAAAATGGATAAGCAGAGTGATTGAGGAGATGGTAGGTGGACATGAAGGAAGTGGGAAGATGTCTCTTCCTTTTTAAACTCTGGTGCTTTACGATATATCTGGCATTCAGCAGGTTGGTAAATGTCAAGAGAGGTTAAGGAAGACTGGGAGTAAAGCCATAGCAATCTGGTAGTGGAAAACCAGAGGCTTTAGCTTGGTCTGACTACTGGTCAGTTCTTTTGGTAACTAAAGCACAGTTAGAGACACCAAGGCCACATCTGAGTCTGTGTTTTCACAGATTTTGGGTAATTTGTTACTGGCTTGGATGCAGATGCTGATAGAAAGCAGGGTGAGTTCTAAATATGTGACTATATATATATATATATATATATATATATATATATATATATATATAAGTGTCTTAAATGTGGTCAACCTTATAGTATTTATACACTTGGAATAATGTTTTCCCATTGTAGTACAAATTGTAATCATACCCACACCTTGCTGAGATGTCCCACATTGAAATAAGATTGTTGACTTAACTTCCATGGTGTGGGGCATTCAGATGTGCACATCATACTATAGCTGGGCCATTCCAGCTCTGTGGGGGGATTGTCAATAAAATGCAATAAGTGGTATATCAGCTTAATCAGCACAAGATAGTTATAATTACCCCCTATAGCTGTTCAAGGAGGCGTGTCAGCTAATGGCTAAGATACCTTCACATGCCTCTATCTGCCTTGTGCATTAATCTGCACATTATAGCAGCATCCCAGGCAATTTTTCTTTGGCTGTTTAAATCTCATAGCCTCTTACATAGAATCTACTATCTTGATCTTTGTGTATGTCAAACAGGCTTGCTTAAAGCCACAACCGCTTAAGCATGATCTGGTGTGAACACATCTTGATATGTTCAACCACCTGTGAAATCAAAGTGCATCAGAAGGGAACACTGATTTTGAATATATAGACAAGACTGGGTCATAGGACCCCCCTCATACAACAGGGACTTAATGTTATTGTCAGTATATTGTATTCCCTGCCACATGGGACCTTTGATGGATGACCAATTTAGCCTCATTCATTTATATCACCTCGTAAAGTGTGACACTGGATGGTTGGATGGATGGCTGTCTAGGTTGGATTTGTCACATCAGGAGAAACTTTGACTTGGAATTGATGAGACTGATTGATGTCAAAGTCCACTGCGCGATTTAGTGTTAATTCTGTGGAGCAATGGTACTTAACCTCTGCCCATCAGAGCCTCTGTTTCTGATCGGTTAAAGGGCAAATGATATGGGTTTATGCCGATAAATAGCATTAGGTTTCTTGTAAACCAAGGAACTCAGGGTGCAGAATGAGGATCCAAATGTCTGACGTCAGGCAGTCTATTTTTGGTAAAAAAATTAGACTGCTTTGTTGAAAACAACATTCCTTTTATTGGATTGTGACTTCTTGCACAACACAGAGTGGAGGTAGATATCATATTATTATATTATGATAGATATGCGTATGTTGGTTGGGTGGATCTTGGTTTTTATTCAAGCATCGTTATGGTACTGGAACTATTTTCATTTGCTTGATAATTCAGTGAAATTATGAGTGGTTATGATATGCAATTATTTTAATGGTGCCTCTTCTGTCGGAGGACGCTGATGGACATTTTATTATTTTAGCTGCCCATTTGCTAATTGGTAACTGTATACTCCTTTGCTAGTTATTGTCTTTTTTTTTTCTTTTTTTTTTTTTGTTTGTGTGTGTGTGTTATGGATATTGGAGTGGAAAAGATCTGAAAATGCATATTTAGTAAATCAAATATTATGATGCTAAATATCATTTTAGAAATTTATTTATCAGGTAACAGTTTTAATAACATTACACATTTGAGTGTACATGCATGGTTGGACTTGAAGTGCCATTTAGAAACGATTATTTTCCTCAATATATTTTGTCATTTCTCATATATTTGAAAAGAGCTTGGTGGCCACAGTGTGTGATGATAGACTATCTCAGCAGAGTATAAAAACTATCAATATAAATTGTAGCTGGTCCACTTTATTATGTCTGCGCCAGCCCAGTTAATCAGTTTAATAGTATTAATACAATGGCCTAATGCATCTTCCCTTGACTTATTAGAAATAGACAGCTATAGTGGCACTGTACATCTGACCATAGGCTGCACTGAAAGGGCTAAAACATATTGATATGATGATATACAGGATATATGGCTGAAGTGAGGTAGATGTCTCTTCTGAGATCTAAGATGAACGCTGATAATCTAGGGTGTATGATTCACTCATTTACACTGACACCCTTCTGTCCTGGTTAACAGTTTGTCCAGTGTAGTTAAAAAATCATTATTATCCATTTTACACCATATTTGGATGTAGTGTGCTTGGCCACACTTGGGAGACCCTGAACATTGGCCCCTGATATGGATATCTGAAAATGAGCACATGGTTTTCATGGTACTGTGGATATCTATTGGAAAACAATAGCTGGCCACTTCACTGGGTTTAATGATGGCTGTTACTTTTATCTCGGTTAAAAGGTTTTCCCAGTTGCAGTGCCCGATCGTCTCATCCATTACTGTTGGACATTAGCTACAGTGAGTGCAGCATGTAAAAGGTACGTTTTAAATTGAGTATAGGACATTGTAGGGGTGAAAATACAATCATATAATGAAAATGAAATTTGTTTGACATTTTGAGTGGGAATCATGGAAATTCTTTATAAAGGATCACAGGGACTGCAGCAAGTACATGTAACTTGGCTATTTTTTTTCTTTTTAGCTCTTGCCATTTGTATCACTAGTATTTCTGAATATTAAGTTACAAAGGAAAGTGTATAAATTTNAGAACAACAGATCTCTGCCGCACGGGAGTCGACGCAAGAAGACGAGGAGAGTACCGAGGCCATCTACGAGATGTTGCAAAGCGCTGCTCTCAGTCTGTATAACCAGTATCTGTCAGAAAAGGTACGTCTCAGGACACTGCACACTTTCCTATACGTACATGATACAACACCCAAGGTAAGGGAGTGTGAATGCAACACTTTCTTGGTTTTGAGGCAGTAAAAGGGAGTCCCAGGGAGGGTCAGTTCAATTTCAGTGTAAATCCACATTCATATTAATTTCTTACATCTTTCTATTTGTTTTTTCTCAATATTATATTCCAGGCCACTTAGAGAATTACTTTGGGTGAGGGTCTGTTATGGAGAACACTTACATTGCATTTTTTTACCTGAATACTGTGTTTCAGACCACCCAGAGAATTACTCTGGATGAGATTCTGATATGGAGAACGCCTATTTTCTTCTCAATATTGTATTTCAGGCCACCCAGAGAATAACTCTAGATGAGGCTTTATTACGGAGAACACTTCACAAGATCAAACAGAGACCACCGCATGCAGATTGCTTTGAAGAAGTTCGATGCAAGGTAAGACAATGCTGTATGGAGAGGTACAGTACCTTATAACAATTATACTTATATATTTTGTGAACAGTGAATATAATTTGAAGTGGACAAAGGCATGCCAGTTGAAAGAGGTTGCAAAGACAGAAAAAGAACCACTGTCCCCTAGAAAGGAGGGGGGGGGGGGGCAGATCATCCCCTTGAATGTAGACATATTAGATAAATCAGTCTGTTGTCATTCTGAAAGAGACAATGGCCTTTTCTTTCTCAAAATAGTTAATAACATGGGGAAAATACTCTTAAATTGGTTTTTCTTAGAGCCAAAGGGCTGTTCATTTTTATTCTGATAAAAAATGCTGAGTCTAATTAGGGACAGACTGGTAAAAAGATGTAAAAAACAGGTATGTTTTTTCAAATTTGGCCATCTTTTGCATTTGCCAAAACTTAAATACGTTAACTTAATGCACTTATCCTGAGAAAGGACAAACTTTGATATTATAATGATTGTTCTCTGCGTTCAGGTGTGCGAGATCCTGGAGGGAGACAACTATTACAAAGCCTTCAAGAAGAGCACAATCTATGTCAAACTGCTGGCCGAGCTGGACCTGCTTAACAAGGACGTGGAAGTGCCAGAGGCAGACGAACCTGCAGAGGCCACCATCTTGAACGATGAATTCCACTTGGAGGCCACGGTGATCAGCAGCGGTGTGATGAAGGAGGAGAAAGGGAACAAGTCGTATGCTGTGTATTTTATTAGAGTGATGAAGAGGGAGAGGACAGACGGTGAACCTGAGATATGGGACTGTTACAGGAGATACAGCGACTTCCACGACCTCCATATGACTATCACTGATAAGGTGGGAAATACCTTGATTGTTATCATTTATATTTCTTTATTTGCTTGTTTTTATATTGTTATTATTATTATTATTATTTTGATTGGATTGATGATGATGCAACACGACTTTTATGATATGCATATGTTGAGTGGATGTAAGTTTAATGTGTACACCTTTTATGAGAAGAATTGAAAATTAGACAAAAGAAAAAGTTAACTTTTTCTTCTTTTTTCAAGCCCATAGCTTGGGGGGGGGGGGGATGTTGAATGAACTGCCCTTTTTCTGTGAAAAAACCTGCTCTAGATTACATTTGATGTAGATACTGTAACAGAAAGTTTTCATGGTTAAAGGTTCAGTTTTTCAGAAAAGACCTCTCCCCCCCCCCCCCCTTATTAATTGCTGGCTACATGCCAATATTTGTAGTATGATTTTCAAAATTCGTTACTGTCTTTTGTAGTATCCATCTCTTGCCACCCTTAATTTTCCCAGTAAGAAGCTTATTGACAACTTGAAGGAAGAATTCTTGGAGAAGAGGAAGAAGGAACTGGATCATTATTTGCAGGTGCTCGTTTTTCACTTTAGAACTTCACATTTGAGTTCTTTAGAACTTTTATAAGACCCTAACAGGAATTGACTCGTTGAACATCCAAAGTACAGGCCTAAAACGTGCTTTAAAAACCATATATATATATATATATATATATATATATATATATATATATATATATATATATATATATATATATATTATGCTTACATGCATTTTTCCTATTTTTCACATTGCGCAAATTTGTCATTTTTACTATGGTTACAGTAAAATCATCAGAAAGTCAGTTTGAAGGACACTAACAAAAATGCTGATTCAAAAATAAATTGTCAAAGAGTATCCAAGAAATCAGATTTTGGTCGTTTTTATCATAAAATTATGCACTGATAAGCTGTTCAATTTAACTCTGAGAATGCCAGCACGTACTTAATACCCCGCCCTGCATTCAGTGTCTTGAAGTTTTTGTGTCTTAAAGTATCATATAAATGTTTTAATAGCAAAGTTTTCCTAATATCATGAGAAAAGCACGGAGCACTTTGTGACCTGAAGTGACTGAGCATGTGTGTTTTTTGTGTGGGGGCAGGTCTGAAGTGAACCTAAAGTTTCATGATTGGATACTTGTGGGTTATACAGGGCCAGGTTATGTGATGCCAGGACAAGTATCCAGTGTGGCAGGTGCCAGTGTGGGGTGAAATCAAGGGGATGGAACTCCCAAGACGGAAGCAATTTGAGTTTATTGTTAATTATGACATTTTGTCTGCTTATTTCCTACAAATGAAGTTCTTACCAAAGGTCCTAGAATTACCCAGTATTTCTGATCATTTCCTGCTTTTGCATGTCTAATTAAATTATGGTGTTTCTGATTATTTCTGACTACTTCCGAATTCTGATTGAATCAAAACATGATGAACATTTGTGTTACACTGGATCCCATAGCTGGACTTATTCACTCCTGTGTTAGCTGATCTTGTGTGCAAGTTTATTAGAATGTGTTAGTTAAAATGAAGCTAAAACAATTCATTTGTTCATCATAGAGATCATTCCTGGACAGAGATCAAGGTTCTCACTAAATTGCTATCAATTAAAGCAGCTTAGATGTCTTGCATGCCCACTGAAGCTGTTAGAGGGTTATTAACTATAATCATTTAGCAGCTTCAGTAGGCGTGCCAGACATATAAGCCATTTAAGCTAAAAGCAATTTAGCGAGAAACCCCTTGAAGCTGGGTCAATCCAGTCAGATCAATCTAGGCATGGGAACCCAGTTATAAACACCAAACAACTATTAAGATTACTTTAAACACCTTTAAACAATTTTGATAATGTTCTTTACAGTATTGATGTCTGTTTAATCTATCAGTTTTTTAAAGCCTTTCAATGCCAGTTATATCAGGTATATGTATGTACTGACAGTCCAAGGTTCTAAAATCTTAACGGCTCTGGTTGTGGACTAAACCAAAACCCAATTTGAAATTGAAGATCATTTCAGCAAAGTCTGATGTAATATAAGCCCAGTCAGGGCACCTAATTTAAAACATACTATGTCCAAACTTGTTGAAAATGTGTAAGTGTGGGTCACTTTGTCTGGGCATTTCTGATCATTTCTGACAGTTTTACAGTTGTCCCCATGTATCTAGTCGAATGGAGCCGAGATTAAATTACTGTGCCCCTGCAGGGACAATGGGTAGGGAGGGTATGTGAGAGGCAGAGAGACCATTACAAGATTAAGCGGTCTTCCTTTCATGTAGGGTCCGTCATATTTGAGCCTTGGATCAGTTGATACTCGGATCTTCTATTCTGAATGGCCCAATACTCAGTACTGGCCTCTGTTAACTCTGACCATTAATCCTCCCTCGCCCCCCCCCCTCC